TAAAATCCATTACAAATTGTTTTTAGTAGGTTAATAGATTTTTTATAGCTTAGTACAGAAAAAGAAAACCTTAATCGGTCAATAATTGGTGCATTTACCTTATTTAATAAAAAATATTTTTAAAGAATAAATATTTACCTCGTAACCTTCAGATAATTTATGCAATGATTTTTTTAACCATGATATATGACGTCCGCGACTTAATTTTGGATCTTCAGCTATTTTGTAAAGTTGCAGACAATTTTCTTCAACAGTTTCCTTAAAAAAATAAATTATCATAAAAAATTTTTATAATTAATTTAGAAGATATTTAATAATTTTTAGAATTTTTTTTTAACAAATAAATTATGGCCAAAAAATAATTTAAAAAAAATTGACGTAAAAATTTTAAAAAATTAAAAATGCAATTTTTTAAAAATAATTTTTTTGAACAAATTTTTTTGTTAAAAAAAATTAAAAAATTCTCTAGTGTCTGCTAACTTTAATGTCATAAAATTTTTTTAATAAATTACAATTGTTTTATTAAAATAATTTTTTTTTTTTTCAATATTTATTTAGTAATAATTTATTTTTTGTAAAATTATGAAAAATCTCTGCTATTTTCAATATTATAAAAATTAAAAAACAACAAGTCTAAAAATGCAAATTTATTAGAATTATTTTTGTTGCATTTAATCATATTAAAGTCAGCAATCACTTGATGATTTTTTAATTTTTATTCAACAAATAAATTTTTTCTTAAAAATCATTTTTAAAAAATAGCATTTTTAATTTTTCTCATTTTTTTTTTGCCATAATCTAATTGTCAAAAAATTATCAAATGTCTTTAAATTTTATAATTAAATTTGACAATCGAATTCTGTCAGAATTTATAATAATTTTTAACAAAAAATATTGGAAATAAAAAATTTACCTGTTCAACAGAAGTTGTAGTCTCAAAATCTTCATCATCCTGAGTTACCAATAACAATTCCTTAAAGGACCTTATCCCTTTACTTAAATCACTATTAAATTCGTACATTGTCCTCCAATTATTTATTCCGTAAATAAATATTTTTTTAACCTGAATTTTAAACTCTCGGTCAAGAAATGTGTAACCTAATAATCCTAAAAATAAAAAAATTAATTAAATAATTTTTCTAATAAAAAATAAAATTATACAAACCTTTAAAATTTAATAATTATTTACAACCACAATATTTATCAATATAAAAAAACACTATTAATTATTATAATAATTACTAAGTGTATAATTTATAAAATTTCATGGAATTTATAAAAAAATTCTTATAAATAATGATAACACAAATTTTTTTTTTGTTTATCACATCTAAGAAATGATTGTTATAAAAGTTATTGTAACTACTATCATTATTTTATTTTTCTCATTATTATTATTATGATTACTACTATTATTATTATTATTACCTGACTATAGGAAACTTTATCATACTGAAGTTAGCTCTCAGCTGTCAATTTTAAAATTTTTTGTAACAAATAAATTACAAGAAAAAAATGCATGAAAATAAAGTTAGCTGATATTTCAAAATTTTTAGAAATTTTTTATCCAAAAAAATTTCAATTAAACAATTAAAAAAAAAAATATCACATGTTAAAAACTTAAAAAACTGTAAGTGCAATTTTTTAAAATTATTTTTTAGTTTATAATTTAATAAATTAAGCAAAATAAAAAAATCGAAAATTTCGGCTAATTTTATTATTATTAATAATTTTATTGTTAAAAAGTTATAAAAAAATTTCTAACGTCTGTCAAACTTCGGTTTCATAAAACTTTTTAGCATACTGAAGTAAGCTGACATAAATTTTTTAATTATTTTATATTAATAAAATTATTGTAAAAAAAATTTAATAAAATTTTTTAAAAATTAATAAATAATTTTTATAAAAATAAAAAAATTGACTTCAGCTGACTTCAGTATCTCATTAGAGTATTTTTGTATTTTTCGAGGTATCGATATATCGAACTGTTGTTTCCAACTGACAGTTTAAATCCTAACCTCAAACTTCTAACCGGCAAAAGAAAAACGTCTGTGAAAAAACAAATTAAAAAGTGATTACTAAAAAGTTTAAATAATGAACTATGCAATAAAAACTAAAAAAAATTTACAATTATGATTATAAAAACATCATGTCCGGATTTCGAGCCTGAAAATTTTGAAATTCTCGATTTTTATAACACAAAAACAGTTTTTGTTTGGCAAAATGATCAGTTCGTGTATTTTCCGCTAACAACTCTGACGTCAGCTGCGAATTTACCGGCGGGAAATTTAAAATTAATAAAAGCGCCAAGTGGAATTAAAAAATTAAAAAGCTACAAAGAAAGAGTGTTTTTTATTTGTGAGCCTCGAGGTATTTATAAATTTGTAATTAATAATAATATTGAAACATTTAGAATTGTTAGTTCTACGGGAGTTGAAATTGCCGAGGAATTTTACAAAAATTTATGTATTAAAGACAATTTTTTGTGGTTACAAAATAAACAGGAAAAATATTCAAATGAATTATTTTTTTTGAATCAATCGATAAAAATCGATCAATCGAACTCGAAAAATATCGATAGATCAAAATCGAAAAATTTCGATCAATCGAATTTTGAACTTTCAAGAATCGATTCAAGAATCGATATATCGAACTCGAGAATCGATATTAATTCGATAAAAATAAATTTAAATGAAGCGGGAAATTTAAAAAAATTAATAACAGATAAAGACATATGCTTAATAGCGAACAATTATTTACTCTACAAATTTATCGATAATAAAACGGAATTAATTTATGAATCAACTTATAAATTAACTGATTTTGTGGTAATAAGAAATAAAAATAATAAAATAATTTATTTATTATTAAAAACATCAAACCCAAAATTGTTGATATTAATAACAGAAAATTTGGATTTTAAAAAAATATTCTTCAACTGCGAGATTAATAATTGCGTTGGATTTATTGAAGAAAATGAAGACTGTATTAATTTAGTAATTGGAGGGGATAAAATCTATTTTGTTACTTTGAAGGTTAGTACAGGTGGCGTTACTTACCACAGTTACTTAAACAAAGCGTTTAAGGCTCTTAGAATTGTAGAGGATAAAGTTTGGGGGTTAAAGGCCGCAGGGGAAATGGCGGAGGTCGCGCAAGGGTTCAACAAAATGGCGGACCAAGATGGCGATGAGTTTTTTGAATTAAGAAGCAGTATGTGCAGCGGAACTTCGGTTATTGTTGATAATATTTGTGATTTGTCGAAGGAATTGAAGGTTAAAAATGAAAAGTTGCTTATTGAGCAGGATAAATTGAAGAGAATAAATATTTATGCGCACAAAAGTAAACTATTGGGGATAAAGAAGATATGGGTTGAAAGAACAAGTAGTTTTATTTTTTTAAAAGCGACCTTTGAAGGAACTTTACCGAGAGATTGTTGGATCCGCGTTGGGGTTAGTTGTAAGGAACAGGAATTTTTTACCATGCAACTTGTTGAAGATGGAAAAATTGTCGCGGAACTTCCGCTGCCTCTTGACTTCTTTGACAGCACCGCGGAGGTTTGTTTGGATCTTGTTACTTTGGTTGAAGAAGATCAACCCTGGTTTGTTGTTAAGGATTGCGAGAAGAAAGCTACTGCTAAGGAAAAGGAGACTCTTAGGAGTTTGATGGAGAAGAAGAGGAATTTGTTGAATACTAAGCTTGGGGTTCTGAGAACTGGCGATGGTGATGAAGATCGTTTTAAGAAGATTTGTTATGTTAAGAAGAGTTTGAGAAGAGAAATTCCAGATTTTTGAAAATTTTTAATTATATTATAAAGAAATGACCTTGTTTCTTAGTAACTATTGACATTTTTGAAGATATAAGCTCATTTTAATGTTACACTCATCGAGAGCTTTCATTTGAGTACCCACATCAATTTTTCATATATTTTATATATTTATATATATATATTACATATATGTATGTATGAAAAATATATCAAAAATGCATGTGGGTACTCAAATGAAAGCTCTTGATAAGTGTAACATCGGGATGAGCTTATATCTTTAAAAATGTCATAAGTTGACAAAATACAATATAATTTTTTAACTATTGACATTTTTAGATATATAAGCTCACCCTGACATTATACTCATCGAGACCTTTCATTTGAGTACCCACATCAATTTTCATGTATTTTATATATTTATATATATTATATGTTATATATATATAAATATATGAAAAATATATCAAAAATGCAAGTGGGTACTCAAATGAAAGCTCTTGATGAGTACAACATCAGGATGAGCTTATATCTTAATAAATATCAATAGTTAAGAAAATACAGTACACTATAATAAAAGTCATTATACAATCGAGCAAAATTTTATTTATTATAGTTCACAATTCTCGGCAGTCACGTAGTGACTGCAGGTTGCTAGATTAATATAATAATGTAAAATTATATATTAATTTTATTTCTTCTTATAGTAGACAGTTTCTTCTTACAGTTCAATTTAGTAGTTTTTAAAGATAAAAATATAAACAAATGAATTTAAGTTAAAAAGAGGAATTTTTATCAAATTAAAAATTCATAAACATTTTTTAAGATAAAAAATTTGTTTTTTTTTTTATAAAAAAATTTAGATTAATAAATTAATAATAATTTGTAATCTATAATGAATTGAAAAAAATTTTGAACCGTAATTCTTACAATTATAATTCCAAGCGCTGTTATTATTTAATTGTTTTTTGTGAAGTAATATAATTTAAAGTAAAAAAAAAAGCTGGAATTCTATGATGATATGTTGCTAAAATAATAAGCTAATATAAAATATTGTCATGTTATGACCAATAAATGAAGAAAAATTGAGTTAAGGATAAATAAAGATATCTTTGAAGTAAATTGTGATTTATTTATTTATTTATTTATTTACTTATGTTCTTCTTCTTTTTATTTCAGAGTAAATTACAAAGAGATTTTTTAAACGTATAAATGTCAAAAGTTGATACGCCACATTTGGCGAAAGGACGTTTTTGAGTATAAATAGCCGTGTAAACCTGTACGGTACAACTCGGAATTGAGTAGCAGTAAATTTTACTTTTTAGCATTAATTTTATTGCATTTCCCGTAAACAAAACGTCAAATCAATGTAAGGCTGAATTGCGTCAGTAAATTAACACTAACAATACATCGCTATTTTAAGAATTACATCAAGACATAAACATAATAATATGTGATACAGTTAAACAGTCTTTTCATCTTTCCCTTAAATATCATTATTCTTATTTTTTTTTAATCACTAATTTATTTATTTATAATTATAAAATACACTATCATTACTCATTAGAGTGTACAAAATTTTACAATTACTTATCTTACGTTTTATATTTATATTTATGGGTACTTAAGTCGCTTAATTTAGTTTAATAATTTACATCCATTTAAATTAATTACTTAATTTAGTATTTTTTTGATATTTTTAAAAATTTCTAGCTGTAAAGAAGAAATGTAGTGTAAACTTTACTTTTTTCGCTTTGCGCAGAACTAGCGCCAGTAGCGGTGACTTTATAAACTAAATGTTAGTACTATAAAGAATTTTACAATTGTTTTTACAAATAATCGCTGTTTGATATGAAATTAATAATTTAAATAAAAAATTATTGATATTAATAATAATTACAACTTACATAAAAAAATAAAAAAAAAATTAAATTTTCTCCGTAGCTTCAATGATACTCCCAATACTACTGGAACTTTTTTTCGATTGTATTTTAATATTCTTAAAACTGTTATTACTGCGCGTACGCAGACGGTTTTGGATTATTTCAAGGGATTTAGAATTTTTACGTGAATTTAAGTTGTTAGCACAGGAATTATTACCACCTGGTACTACAATACCACCGGCGCTAGGTCGTTCACTTCCTGTTCCATTATTACGCCGGCACATTTTGGCGAAGCACGCTCGAAAGTTCTCGGACAATACTCCGTATAATAGTGGATTTATTACGGTGTTTAACTGGGCTATTATTAGTGTCCAGATAAAATGACGCGACCGGAGAAAGTAATCGGTGGTATCACTTGGTGGCCGACGACTGTCCAAATATATTAGCAGCATTATTATTGTTATTGGCAACCACATTATTAATACGGCAAACACGTTAACCAGGAGAATCCGCACTACTCTTAAATGTTTGTGCAGTCGTATTTCTTCGTGTTGAGATAAACTCCCGGCGCGGCCAGGTCGGCTTGACACCGAGGCCGCTGATGATTTTCTTCCTGCCCAGGGAACCAAGGTTCCGACTACTGATAGTTCTGAGTCACGTCTCATTGGATCTTGACCCTGGAGAAAAAATTTTTTTTTATTTAGTTAATTATTGAAAAAAAAAAAAAATTTTTTTGGTTGGAAATTCTTAAAAAAATTTTGACTTTTTAGAAATTTTCAAATTTTGTACAAATTGTAGATTTTTTTTTATTTTAAAAAATTTGAATTTTTTTTTTTTTTTTTTGAAAAATTATAAGTTTAAAAATTTTTTAACAAAAAAATTATTTTTGGTTTGAAAAATTGATTTTTTGAAATTAAATATTTTTATTAAAATTTTTAATAAATTAAAAATCAGAGTTATTTTTTAAGTATTTAAATTTTCAAAAAATTTAGTATAAATTGTAGAATTTTAATAAATTTTTTTAAAACGTCAGCAGGATTAAAAATTAAAAATATTGAAACTAAAATTTTGCACAAAAAAATTTTTTTCTTAAAAATTGATTTTTTAAAAAATTGATTTTTTTAAAATTGATTTCTAAAAATTGATTTTTTAAATTAAAAAATTGAAAACTAAAAATCAAAAAAATTGATATTTTTTTCAATATTATAAAAAATCCCGAATTTCAAAATTAAAAAAAAAAACTATCTCTAAAAAAAAAATGCTTATATACATTTTTATAAAAATAACAAAATTGTCGAGAATATTTGAACAAGCAAAGAGAAGTGATTAGTAATTGCAATAAAACTAATTTTGACCAAATCATAAAATTGATCAATAAATCAATAATCCTCACCTGAGTGACACATGAAACGGCCCACCTACTCCTTGTGTCAATAATCTTTTGGAATATTCTCTGGTAATGGTAAACCAGCAAGCACATCGGCAATAAACACGCGATTATTATTATCGGAATGGTGAAGCAAAGTGATACGTTTACAATTTGATTTATTGGGAATATTAGCGTGCAAATAGTAAAATCCTTTATCACCTATTATTAAAAAAAACAGTTTCAAATTATTAAATCAATGAATTTACTCTAAAAGTTATTTATCAAAGTACATATCGATTACCTTTTGTTGAAACCAGAATACAACTGGTAAAAATATCAATGAACCAATAAACCATGTCATAAAACTCGCTGCCAGTACTCGCCCTGTTGTCAAAGCACTTCTGTAAGGCGCTACTGCTAAACATCTGTGCCGGTCCATCGATATCAGTGTCAATGTCCACAATAACACGAACCCACATACGAACTAAAAGGAAAAAAAAATTTAATTGTTAGGAAAAAAATTTTTAGGTAGATATTTTTAGAAATCTAGCTATTGTAGCCGGTCTTGTGTTGCAATTTTAAGAAAATTTTGTTATAATATATTTTATTTCGTGGAGTTACGCCGAAAAATAGCGTTGGCTCAAAAGTTTATGCATATAAGTGTGATATAACGCGGCATGTAAGCAAGATTGCGTCGACAGTTCTTAACCGATCTTTATGAAATTTTGTGGAGTTATTTTATGAATCAATACCAAGATCTAGTTTGAAGATGAGCTAAATCCGCCGGTTGGTTTACGAGTTGTGGGTGTTTGAAAATTTTTTTCATTTTCAAAAAATTTTTTATTTCGTCAATTTTATGGAAATTATTTTCCAGATGTTAAAGATTGATTAAATCTATTAAATTTATCTTAAAGTTCACATAATTACCTTCAATTTAAGCTATTGTTTGTCTAATTTTGATGATTTTTTAAATTAATTCCGTAATTTTAAAAATTTGAAAAAATTTTTCAATTAATGTATTTTGGGCGTTTTTCTTTAAAAAATTTATCAGCCGTAAAAGATAGCTTAAATCTATTTAATTTATGTCAAAGTTCACATAATTATCCTCTATTTAAATTATTCCTCGACTTTTGATATTTTTTTAAATTTATTTCGTAGTTCGGAAAATAAAAAATAAATTAATTTTTGGATTTTATCGTAAAATAACTTTTATATATTACAAATCCTCTTTAGGTAGATCTTTTTAAAAATATTCATCTCGAAAATCTACCGTGTCTCTTAATTACAATTTACAAATAAAAATAATTAAAAATGATTTAAAAATAATTTTAATACAGAATTTTTATAAATAAAAAGATTAAAAAATTGATAAATTTGATCAATTTTAGCTAAAAGTTTATTAAATTGTTTTGATTCTTTAATTTGTTCAGATGATTGGATTATAATTAGATTGTTTTTTTTTTTAATAAATACGTAATTGCTTTTTGTAATTTTGCAGATCGATTGCATAAATTTACATATATCCCTTTTTAATTTATTTCGTAGTCCAGAAATTGAAAAATAAATAAATTTTTGGGTTTTATCGTTAAATATCTTTCATATATATTACACTAAAAAATATCTTCATTAAAGAAAAATATTTTGAAGAGAATTAGTTGTCTTATTTCAAGAAATTCTTGTCTTGATTTAATGTTTCTTGGAGTGAGAGATCTAATCACTCCGATCGATAATATTTTTACTCGGTTCAAGACTATATTATCTTCGATCGATACAAGTGAATTCTTTATTAAAAAACGATTCTCTTCAATAAAGAATAATCCGAACAAAAACAGTTTCACTGTAAAAAAATCGCACCAAGTCCACGTTCATAATTAAGACTATTAAAAAAAAAAAATTAGTTTTTTCTTTACAAAAAGATATAAAATAAAAAAATTGAAAAATCCAAGTAACCGATATGATTGTTTATGATTTTCGGAAATTAAAAAAAATTTTGTTGTAAATTTAAAAATTAAAAAAACAGTTTTGGAACGTATTTAGTGTGCGCGGTTGCAAAATATTTTACTTTTAATTAAATTCGTAAAATCTATTTAATAGGACTTTAAAAAAATTGAAATGCACAATATATGACGCACACCAAGTACGTTCCAAAATTGTTTTTTTAATTTTTAAATTTACAACAAAATTTTTTTAATTTCCGAAAATCATAAACAATCATATCGGTTACTTGGATTTTTCAATTTTTTTATATTTATATCTTTTTGTAAAGAAAAAACTAATTTTTTTTTCTTAATAGTCGTATGAACGTGGACTTGGCGCGATTTTTTTTACAGTGAAACTGTTTTTGTTCGGATTTTAGTATTTTTTGTAATTATAATAAAAATTTACAATTGGTACCAACTTAAATCTCGCGTTGGCTGCATTTTTTTATAGCAAACTATTCCCTTGAAGCTACAGTTTATGTAAAAATAATTCCAGCGCACCCTGGCGGGTGTAGATGCAAGCTGTGAAATATCTTTTTTTAACTGTAGTTTCCCATCTAATGAAGGATTACTATACATTCTCGAATAATTTAGTCTGTGGCAGATCACTTTGCCGATCGAAAAAAAGTCAGGATCGAAATTTTTGCGTTGCTATAGTTTGTGCTGATTAAATTTATTAATTTTAAGTAGATTAATTGTTATATGTGAATATAATTAATTAATAACAGTAAAATAAAGTATGAATTACTGTTATAATATACAATTTAGGAAAAAAAAATACCGTAGAATTAAATAAAATTTTGCAACCTCAAAATACCGTTCTGCTTACAGTAAACGCAGTCGGTAGTCTGGCGCTCCGTTGACAACGGATTTGAACGGAACTTGGCGCCAGATTCTACCGAATCTGTGGATTTTATTTCATTTCAAGAATTATTGATTGTTGATTCAAGAACAAATTTTTTTATTTATGATGTTATAGGTTTAAGTCAGAAAAAAACTTTGAAGTTAAAAAATTTGTATTTCTCTGTTTGCCGACAAAATATTTATTAATACAGAGAATAGTAAAAATACTAAAATTTATATGCTTAAAACAAGTTAAATAATATGTTAATTTTCGAGTCGCGCCATACTTGGAACAAGTCGGTAATATCTTGAACCAATGTTACCGTCTATCTAAATCCAAGAGAAAGAAATTCTTGGGCGAAGTTGTATATATCTTATTTTAAAACAACCAACTTTCTTGATTCGAGAATCAATTTCTTAAGTTAAGAGAATTGAATCCTAATATAAAATTGAGATGAAATATATGTGGCATCAAACTATTCGTAACGTGATTGGTTGAATATATCATAAGCATGAAAATATATGCAAACTCTATAGTCAAGGCGCGCGCTTGCGCGCGTAAATTCAAATTCTAGTTACTTAAAACAACAATGACATTTTCTTTAATCAAGTCATTTTTTTTATCAGTGTAATTTTTTTGAGATGTGTGCCGAAGGCACACATCATAAACTAACATATAGTCTAAAAACGTTGGATCTGATCAGATATACTAATTTTCTAAAAATGTTCCTTACTCTTTTCAGTTAAAGTTCACACTAAGTAACTATAAACTACATCTGTTCTAACTATATTAGGTGGATGCAAGCAAGTAAACGGAAAAAATAGACGTCAGTCAATGGAATCGATATTTTAATTAAAATAGTAGGACGTTGTTTAGACAATATTTAACAGAGTACATAGTGTTTATTTATCGATTCAATTAGTACGAACATACTGTAGATCTTAAACCAAGATATATTCATGACAAAAAGGTTTGTTTGTTGTACGAAAAAAAAACGGTGATACACTTTCGTGACTATTTGAATAGAAAAATATTGGAAAAGTATTTTAGTGAATATATTGATGATAAAAAGAACAAAAATAAAATTAGGTCAAATGTTTTTCTCTGAATTGTTTTTTGCTATTATTATATTATTAACATACTTGTGAATAAGGGAGTAGACGACAAACGGTATCACCAAGACGCCAGGATTGTGTAAGCCGTGTGTAAGCGACGGCTGGTACTCCTAATGCAAACAGTAAATCAGCTGCAGCCAAATTAACTAGGCAGAGGTTTGTCGGTGTACGCATTTCCTTGTACGATAACACACATGCCGCTATCCCAAAATTTGCTACCACTGCTATGACAAATGTTATTGCCAGTATGATTACCTGAAAAAAATTATCATTTCTTTTTGAGTTTATGAAAGTTTAGTTTATAAAATTGTTAGAACTGCATGGTGAGAAAAAAAAAGCAATTGATTTATAATAAATAGTGATAAAGAAATTTTTCTTTCTGTGTTTAGGAATCCATACTTTCCTATGTGGATTTTTTCAATAGAGAAATGCGAATTAGATCAAAGTAATAAAGCAAAAAATGAACAAAAGTGGTTTGATGTATCAACGGAGATTTATAAGTTACGAGAGTAAATTTATATATAAATATTACTATATATATATATATATATATATATATATATATATATATATATATACTCTTGATTTTACTTTGTACGACGTTAAAATATATAGACATAGACAGGAACTGTAAACTCGATTAAACATTTCCGCAAATAGCGAACGAGAAGTTATTTCCTACGTACGATCGATTAATTGGCTCTGTATTGAGAATTCGAGTGAAGACAAGTTAACGTAGATATTAATTTAATTTTTATTTTTTATTTTTAGCTATTTTTATTCACATTATGACCTGGAAGAGCTTTATTACTTTATAATTAGCTTCATTGTTGAGATATTTACGACATAGGTTGAATTTTTTATAGCTTACTATTTAATGGTATTATTACTATTTAATAAAACGTTTATTTGGCTAATAAAGGGGAAGGGGAAATAAACAAGTAGGTTAGGTGAAACATCTTTATACTATTTATTTATTAAAAGATTTTACTGTGAAAATATATTTGAATATATTATAATTAATTGATGAATATTAATTTTTTTCTTGAAATTATTTGTTTTAATGACTTAATATTCGTATTAAAAACACATAGTATTTAAGAAAATTTTATTAAATACTAATAAAATTTTATTCATATGGAATATAATTTTATTACTATTAACTAAGTTTTCTTTTCAAGTCCAAATAAACTTTTTTATTACTATTAAATAAAATTTTCTCTCAGTGTATCATGTTTCTTGGAGTAAGAGATTTAATCACAGAGAAAGAAAAATTTCTTGGAGAACAAAATATTGGCTTGAAAGCCAAAAAAAAATGACTTGATTAAAGAAAAACTTTTTTTTCAAAATTTCATTCTTGGTTTAAGTAATTCAATTCTCTTAACTTAAGAAATTGATTCTCGAATCAAGAAATTTGGTTGTTTTAAAATAAGATGTATACAACTTCACCCAAGAATTTCTTTCTCTTGGATTTAGATAGACGGTAACGTTGGTTCAAGATATTACCGACTTGTTCCAAGTATGGCGCGACTCGAAAATTAACATATTATTTTACTTGTTTTAAGCATACAAATTTTAGTATTTTTGCTATTCTCTGTATTAATAAATATTTTGTCGGCAAATAGAGAAATACAAATTTTTTAACTTCAAAGTTTTTTTTCTGACTTAAACTTATAACATTAAAAATAAAAAAATTTGTTCTTGAATCAACAATCAATAATTCTTGAAATGAAATAAAATTATTCTTTATTGAAGAGAATCGTTTTTTAATAAAGAATTCACTTGTATCGATCGAAGATAATATAGTTTTGAACCGAGTAAAAATGTTATCGATCGGAGTGATTAGATCTCTCACTTCAAGAAACATTAAATCAAGGCAAGAATTTCTTGAAATAAGACAACTAGTTCTCTCTTCAAAATAATTTTCTTGGAGTAAGAATATTTTTCTTGAGTAAAGATATTTTTTTTATCAGTGTATAAATTAAAATATATTTATTTAATTAGCATACCTCGACGGCACTCGCTCCTTTTCGATCGCCAAATTCGCTGTAATACGTGAAAAACTCTCTTTCTCCCCATGTTTCATCAATTCCGAATAAATAAGAAGAGTTTACATCATTGTCCATCATTCCAACTAAACTAAATATTCTTCTTGTATTTTTTAAGGACTCTTAGTCAGATGTTAAATTACTTTAACTGTCAGATAACTAACAGCTTTTTATGGACCATTTTTAACCGGTTCAAGTTCTTCCTTTATTTTGCAGTAAAATATATAATTGAAATGAACAATAAAACAGCCGTAAGTTTTTACACCCTTAATTTAAATTCTTAAACTTAAACTCTTCTTATTTTAGCTTAAGCTCCAGGGACTTTTTCAAGCGATAGTTTATGGATAACATTTGAGAAAATGTCATGGGACGTCGAAGCTTTTACCCTTGACTTCTCTCTAGAAGAGAACGGGACGATAAAAAGATATTTACTTGTTGTTCAACACCCCTCGCTTGTTGTTGCCGGTACAAATATTTTCATCTGAAACAAAAATAAACTTTACTTAGTTATATCTGTAAATTTTGTTTTTTCATTAAAAAAAAAAAAATAATATTTTTAAAATGAAAAAAAAAATAATTGGTAATTATTAAATAACAATTCAAGACGTTTAATTTTGAATATTTAATTTTTACCTTGCTTACAGAAAAATGAATAGGCTTAAAGTTGTAAAAAAAATTGAAACAAAATGAACACATAAATATTACAGTATATTATTATCGGAAAATTACATATATATAATATAAAGAATTAGGAAAAATCATAAGAACAGAAGATTGAATCACAGTTTGCGAATTTGCTTCGAATCATCTTCGGTTTAGTGAGGTTAAATTTAGCAAATGCATCACGTTTCACCTGTTCAATATTACAAGGATGTGCTGGTTCTCGTGAAAACACCCAGGATTTTTCAATACTATAAAAAATTATTAAAAAATAATTAATTTAGCTCATTAAGATAGTTATATAAGAAGTAAGGTTAAATTTTGTACTTACTGATAATTTCCATAGTCTTCACAACTCCAGGCTACAAAAAAGTCATCATAGTCCATAATGTAAAGAGCTGAGAATATTCTTGATACGCCACCCACAGTGGGAAGAAAGTAAGTTAAGTTTGATCCTAGATCAGTTTCAATTAGCTCGGGAAACAGATGTCTCTGTTTGACAGGCACTATGGCGGTAAATATTAAGATATTAGCCTCACGCAAAGATTCGGTATTTATACGATATAAATGCTGTATGTTTATCGTAATACTTCAGTTTTTTTGCCGAATTATTACAAAATAAATTCAGAATATTTACGGCAATACAATAGAAAAATTACGGTATATTAACAGCATTAAAACCATAAATGCACCGCATATTTACTGTATACTTGCGGCACTATTGCAGCAAAGAACCGGAAAAGAAAATCCCTACTTTCTACTACCGGTAAAATACCAAAAATATGCTGCTTTACTACTATTATTCAATAGCTTAAAATTTTTTTTTATAATATTATAAATTATCATGAATAATTTTTAAGAGGTTAATAAATTAATTTCTCTATTATTAGTATTATAATTTTTTTTAGTCCAGACCGGGATTCGAACCCGGATGATTTAGTTACGCGCCAAAAGCTCTACCAGTTGAGCTATCTGAGACATTATCCGTAACTATTTATTCAGTCACCTAATGAGACCCAACGAGTAATAAACACCACCGTCCATCTTACGGTAGAAAGCATTATATCTTTAATTATATCAGTATAAACGCGGCAAAATTGCAGTATACCTTCGATATTTTTACCGTATAAATACCATTTTATTATTGTAAAATTATAGTAATATTATAGTTAATACATAGATTTTTTACGGTAAAAGTTCTAGAGTTTTACGGTAATTTTATCGTATTATTCCTGAACTTTGCAGCAAAAGTACGGTAAAAATGCTGTATAACTATAGTAAAAAAACTGGCCAATATAACCACAGAAATACCGTATTATTTAAGAATTATAACGGTAAATTTATGGTAAACGCATTAATACCGAAAATTTACGGTATTTAAAAAACCGCGAGGGTAATAATAAATTTAAAAAATATCGTTAGTTACTTGCAAAGTATCCGAGTCAAAATATTTTGCAGAAACAAAAGAAGAAAAAATGAAGATTGATAATTATAAATTTGAAAAAGATTTATCTATCACCGTCGAAACGTTGTTAATTGGCTCACGCCACATTGCTTTATGACACCTACTTGAATTTTTGTAATTATTAACACTTCGTTGTACTTCGTACCATTCGCCAGCTAACTGGAAAAAATTGGTTTGATAAATTAGAGTGTAAAAATTTGAGTTTGATTGAAAAGATACTTACTCTGTTATAATCGAGTGGATTGACAACTACTTTAGGACAAGGACCATTATGTGACGAAGGTTTGGCATTGGATGATGATGATGATGATGATGATGAAGAAGAAGCATGAGAGACGGATGAAGATGATGAAGAAGCTTCACTTCCCGATTCTGATGATTGTGCAAATGCACCCGCAGTTAAGTAAAGAAGAATTTAAGGGACCAACATTTTTGAATTAAAATTAGTAAATTGCAATTTGATCACTGATTTTACTGATATACATTAAGGTCTTTTGAGATATAAAAGGAATTTTGAACATTCAATTGCATTTATACAAAACGTAATTATTTGAGATTAAAAATTACATATTTGAAGTGCAAGTATTGCGATAGTGATATTAAAATCGTTAAAGCGGTTCAATGTTTTAAGATTCAAATTTAAGATTTCATAAATCGCCGTATTTCGATTCACTTGTATCAATATTGATATTTATTTAGCAATATATATGACAGTGAGATGATGTGTTAATTCCCGAGGTAATTACACACTTCAGGCGAGAATTGTTAGAATTTTTATTGGTGATAATTTTAAAGAATAAATCGATCGAATTAAAAAGAAATTTTCATTAGTAATTGTCATTAAAGTTATATTCGAGAAGAAATGTCTTCGATAAGTTTATCCAATTTTGTAAAACTTATAATTAAATGTTGATCCACGAAATGATACAAAAATAATGTCTGAGATAATATTATAGGGCGAAAAAGGAAATAAAACTTTGTGAAGAGTACAAGAATGTTTATTTATTGATTAAAAAACGGTACAGAATATAAGAAACTTAACTATCGAAATCGAAAGAAGAATAAATTCGGCAACACCCTGCAAGATCATTCTTTACCATTTCTGGGATTGTGAGATTATATCTCGCAAATGCGTCTTTCATCAACGCATTGATGTTATAAGGCTGTGCTGGTTCTCGTGAAAACACCCAGGCCTGTTCAACGCTGCAAAGTATATTAAACGATAACTAATTTCTTCTTTAAAATTGTTATTGATATTCAAGTTAAATTCATAAACTTACTGTCCGTTTCCGCGATTCTCGCACGCCCAGACTATCGTGTAATCTACGTAATTGAAACCAACAGCATAGTATTGTTTAGGAACCTCGCCCATTGTTGGAAGCCGGTAGGAAAAACCCGTTCCTGCATCATTTTGCGTTACATGGGCAGTCGTTGTTGAAGTGAAGGACCCCCTAAATAATTAATCATCAATAGGGTATGCATTCCCTTAGCTAGAATGTAACTAGTACTTACGAAGTAGAAGAACTCTTGGTTATGATTCGTGAAACATTGTTAACTGGTTTACCCCACAGCATTTTTTGACATTGATCTACACTGTCGTAGCTATTAGCGCTGCGTTGGACTTCGTACCATATTCCACAATGCTAAGAAATCGAAAAGGTTTCAAACCGGACTAGAGTTAATAACTAATACCTCAATCTTATCGTTAGTTATTCAAAGTCACTTACCCTGGTGAAGTCAACTGGATCGGTAGCTATTACAGGACAATGACCCTTAGTCACAAGAGGTGGCTTCGTGTAAGTTGAAGCTGATGCTCTCGAAGAAGCTTTACTGCAGGATGATGCTGATGATTGATATTGAGCGAAAGCGCCAGAAGTTAGGCAGGAAAAAATCAGAAAAATCAACATTTTCAGGATAAACTTGTCAATGCTTGTGAATAATTATTGTTCTTTAGTATTTATAACTAGCTTGAAGCGTTATAACAGGTTCCAGGTGCAAAATTTTCTTACGATATCTTGCTGTCCACTTGTTAAAATAACTCTATTTGCTGAGACGTCTATATTAGTGAGAATATGTCTCAATTCGAATGATAATTAGACACATCAAGTGCTAACTCATGTATAAATAATATATCAATTAAAAGTGTGTTCTTACTTTAATTTTTTTTGAAAACCCTATCTAAGAACTGTAGTGAGTTAGCACTTGATGTGTCTAATTATCATATGAATTGAGACATATTCTCACTAATTTAGATATCTCAACAAATAGAGTTGTTTTAACAAATGGACAGCAAGATATCATTAAAAAATTTTGCACCTGAAACCTGTTATAACGCTTCAAGCTAGTTACAAATACCAAGGAACAATAATTATTCACAAGCATTGACAAGTTTATCCTGAAAATGTGGATTATTCTGATTTTTTCCTGCCTAACTTCTGGCGCATTTGCTCAATATCAATCAATAGCATCATCCTGCAGTAAAGCTTCTTCGAGAGCATCAGCTTCAACTTACACGAAGCCACCTCTTGTGACTAAGGGTCATTGTCCTGTAATAGCTACCGATCCAGTTGACTTCACCAGGGTAAGTGACTTTGAATAACTAACGATAAGATTGAGGTATTAGTTATTAACTCTAGTCCGGTTTGAAACCTTTTCGATTTCTTAGCATTGTGGAATATGGTACGAAGTCCAACGCAGCGCTAATAGCTACGACAGTGTGGATCAATGTCAAAAAATGCTGTGGGGTAAACCAGTTAACAATGTTTCACGAATCATAACCAAGAGTTCTTCTACTTCGTAAGTACTAGTTACATTCTAGCTAAGGGAATGCATACCCTATTGATGATTAATTATTTAGGGGGTCCTTCACTTCAACAACGACTGCCCATGTAACGCAAAATGATGCAGGAACGGGTTTTTCCTACCGGCTTCCAACAATGGGCGAGGTTCCTAAACAATACTATGCTGTTGGTTTCAATTACGTAGATTACACGATAGTCTGGGCGTGCGAGAATCGCGGAAACGGACAGTAAGTTTATGAATTTAACTTGAATATCAATAACAATTTTAAAGAAGAAATTAGTTATCGTTTAATATACTTTGCAGCGTTGAACAGGCCTGGGTGTTTTCACGAGAACCAGCACAGCCTTATAATATCAATGCGTTGATGAAAGACGCATTTGCGAGATATAATCTCACAATCCCAGAAATGGTAAAGAATGATCTTGCAGGGTGTTGCCAAATTTATTCTTCTTTCGATTTTGATAGTTAAGTTTCTTATACTCTGTACCATTTTTTAATCAATAAATAAACATTCTTGTACTCTTCACAAAGTTTTATTTCCTTTTTCGCCCTATAATATTATCTCAGACATTATTTTTGTGTCATTTCGTGGATCAACATTTAATTATAAGTTTTACAAAATTGGATAAACTTATCGAAGACATTTCTTCTCGAATATAACTTTAATGACAATTACTAATGAAAATTTCTTTTTAATTCGATCGATTTATTCTTTAAAATTATCACCAATAAAAATTCTAACAATTCTCGCCTGAAGTGTGTAATTACCTCGGGAATTAACACATCATCTCACTGTCATATATATTGCTAAATAAATATCGGTATTGATACAAGTGAATCGAAATACGGCGATTTATGAAATCTTAAATTTGAATCTTAAAACATTGAGCCGCTTTAACGATTTTAATATTAATATCGCAATACTTGCACTAAATATGAAGTTTTTAATTTCAAATAATTACTACACTTCATGTGATGTCTTCTACACACTATACATGTTCATTATAAGTTAAATTTTTTTAGATCTCCTTATTTTCAAAAACATGCTATAGATCTATTCTTACAATATATATAATATCAATAGATTAAGTGATTAATCGTAATTTCCTAGTGATGAAATTTATAATTTAAAAATTTCTTCTCGAATATCGCGTTACAAATGCCATAAGGGCGTATCAGCCTATTATACGCCCTTATGGCACCCGGGTGCCATAAGGGCGTACCAAAAAATTTTTTCGAGAATCGACGTAGTTATGCCTAAAACGGGAAGTGATGCAAAAAAAATTTTGGTACGCCCTTTTGGCTCCCGGTAGGTACCCTGGGTGTTACGCCCTTATGGCACCCGGGGTATCCCTTGGGGACCATAAGGGCGTATAAAAAAAATTTTCAAATTTGAAAAAAATTTTTTTTCGTCATTTCTATGCGTTTCAAGTAAAAATATGTTGTTTCCCGAAAAAAAAAATTTTTGGTACGCCCTTTTGGCTCCCGGTAGGTACCCTGGGTGTCATAAGAGCGTACCAAAATTATTTTTTGCTTTTCTGCCCGTTTCAGGCATAACTACGTCGATTCCCGGAAAAAAATTTTTTATACGCCCTTATGGCTTTTCAAGGGTATTTTTTTCGAGATACGCCCTTATGGCATCAGTAACGCGATATAATTTTTATTATAATTATCACCTGAGGCATGCAATCGCCAAATAGATTGACACATCAATGTTCTGACATATTAAATAAGAAGAATTGTTTAAGCAAGTGTACAGTGAAATAACACGTAAGTTTGTTCAGTTAAAAATATAATTGTCCAATAAATATTGATACTTTTTAAAAAATTTTATGTAATTTTTGCATATTCATTTTTTTTAAAATAAAAATATTTTTGTTTCTTTAAATAAAATTAATTGTAAAATTTACATTCTAAAATTCTAAAGAAACTTTTTTTAAATATTTCAAAACAAATGAAGATGATAATCATCCGCTTTAATAACTTCAAGTTTTATTATAACTCAATATTAAATATTTGTTCAAACAATGTATTACTTTTAATAATTTAAAATTGAATATTGAAAAAAAAATCGGATTTTAATTCTTTAAATGATAAACTTATCATTTTTGGTTCAATAAATTTTTGTTAAATGAATATTATTGAAGAATTTTAATGAAGAAAATAAATTTTTTTATTGAAAAACAACTTATTTTTAAATTAAGGTAAAAACTTTTTCGTCAAAAACTAAACAGTTTTATTGAATTAAGAAATGCAACTCACAGCTCAATAAGTAAATATTTAATTAAAGAACATTAACGTTCTCGGCTGAAGAATATTCATTTTTTTATAAATTAAAAATAACGGAAATAAATACCCAAGGTAGGGCTCGAACCCTGCTCGGACCGGACCGACTACAACCACACAAGCCGCTCAGCCATAGCATGCTAAGCGGGTGAGTTACGTACTTATTGATATATTAGTAATAATTAATTTTGTCGGCATTCTAAAGGCGGCGCTAAGGTCTAATTATCGAAAGCCAACAACATCATGTTCTTGATTTAAGTTATTTGGCTTTTGAATAAGTAAAATATCTCTTGCGTTGATAAATTTAATTTCATTGTCCAAAACATTATTTTATATTGAAATATATAAATAAAAACTCTTTATTGAAAAATAATTTTACTCTATTTAATAATTAAAAATTTTTTAATCAAAATCTTCTAAATCAACAACAAAATATTCTTCAATCAAAATTTTTTTTCTCTTCCTAAATATTTTCAAGTCAACAATATTATACTTGAATCACGGGATTTTTTTTTAAATAAATATCATTTTTAACAGTTTGATCTTGAATCAAGAAAAAAAATTCTTGGTCTAAGAAATTGTTCTTGATTTAAGTAAGCTTTAATTTTGCATAGAATATTTTTTTTTAAGAGACCTAAAATTACAATAAAAAAAAACGTTGTAATAAAAATCATTTTTTATTAAGCTCATAACATTCTGTTATAAAATAAAATTGTTACAATTGTAAAAAGCTTAAACAATACAAAGTGAAAGATTATGATCGTACATCTCAGGCACAGTGAGGTTATATTTTGCGTAAGCGTCTCGCATGAGCGCTTCAATCTTGCACGGCTTTTTAGGCTTCCTTGCAAATATCCAGGCAGTCTCAATGCTGTTTAATAAAATACAAAAATTAATTAATTTTCTGTCAAAAAAATAATAAGTATTCTTAAATTTACAAGCTTACTGTTTGTCACCGCGATTTTCACAGCCCCAGACTATCGCATAGCGGCGATAATTGATACTAAGAGGAAAGTACTCTTTGCCGAAGTTACCGACCATCGGAAAGTCGTAGTTAAAAAATTGGGCTTGACTATTTGCTTTTACCAAAGCAGTGGTCGTAGAATTGTTTTTTCTTGATCATAAATAACAATTTTAATAAAATAACTTGGCCCAAAAAATACAGAAGGTAAAAAAATGTAATAGTTACGAATTTGCTGAAATTTTTGTAGTCGTAATTCGTGAAAAACCTTTGGTTGGCTTGCCCCAGGTTAATATTTGACATCCTTCGCCGTCAAAAATATTGGCGCTGCGTTGAACTTCGTACCATACTCCCGCGGTCTGAAATAGTGGAAATTATTAAGGTTATGAGCCCAGGCTCAAGGCCAATTTTTTTTTAATAGAAAAAATGAAATATTTTATTCAAACTTTTTACTGTCTTAAAGATACATGTTTAATAAGGGATTACTGAAATTAAAAAAAAAAAAATATTAAAAACTCTGCTAATGTGACGTCATTTCCGGCGAGCCCTCGGAAAAAAGATGCGTCCGCGTGGACAGCAGAACTCCTAGCAGGATCATCAAAAGTGAAAAAAAAAAATATGTGCTTTAGTTAAGACTTCAAACTAGGTCTTGAACGAAGGAAAAAAAAAAAAAATGGAAATTGGATTTTTGGCAGAGGTTTTTACAAAAAAATTAAAAATTTGGCTAAAATTTCGCGGGATTTTTTTTTTTAAATAGTTGTAATTGAAAAAAAAAAATCCTTCGTTCAAGACCTTGTAAATTATATCTCGAAGACCTGTCTAAAATTTCATCAAGATCGGTTGAGTAGTTCTCGAGAAATCTTGACAACCGTCTTTGAAAACATAGTTTTGAGAAAAACGCGTTTAAAGTTTTGAGTGACAATACAACAGCGCCTTGAGCGCGCAACTTTTTAAAACTATTATTCGGATCGATTTGAAACTTTAGGACAATATTCTAGAGATGTTGTAGAATTTAATAAGACAAAAAAATTCATTTTTTGAAACCCATGTAACCCCTTAAAAAAATATTGTAATACTTACCTTGCAGTAGTCAAGCGTAACTCCGGTTATTTGAGGACAAGGACCATCATAAAGAATAGGATATTTAGTTAATGAAGAAGCATGAGATGAAGATGATGCTGAAGCTGATGAAGAAGCCTCACTAGAAGATTGTCCTGATGTTTTGGTTAAAGCAAATGCCGTTAAGAACAAAGTAATAAAAAGAGCCCGCATTTTTTGAGTTTTAAACTTCGACTTTTGCAATTTGATCACTTATGACATATTGATTTCATTTTTATAACAAATGTCTTATGTTCTTATCTAAACGGCAATATTAATTTAGTGATTGCTTAATGTTTGATGTTATAACTTTTATAATGAAATTTTTACATAAATATTCTTTATACTTTTTATTATTTGCTAAAAAAATTTTTAATTTGAGAAAAAAAAATTCGGACGCAAACCGGGAATCGAACCCGGAACTTTTGGGCACGCTCTAAGAGCTGTCTTAGTTAAGCTATCGCTTAATGCACTAATTGCAAAGATAATTCATTGAATTATAATGTGGTTGATAATTTATTTCCAATTTTGTTATTAATGTTTAATTTAATAGAAACAATTTGAAAGTTATTTTAGAAAATTAAAAATTTGTCGGTATTTGAATTAAAAACGAAAAATTTACAAATCTAAAGTGATTTATCGAAAATATATATTATATATTTATCTATATTCACCTGTTGAAACAATTATATTGATTTAATAATGAAATATGCCTAAAATCCGTCACTCGGTAATTAAAATTTTAAAAATGTGAAAGAGAAAAACAAACATTTTAATAATTATTATTTATATAAGTTAATTAGTATTTTAATATTGAATATTTATGATTTATATCAAGTGTTGATTGGATGATTCATTTATTAAGTTATCGATTATTTTGGAAATAATAAGATTTTATTTGGAATTTTGCAATCAAGTTGAAAAGTGCACGCCTCATAATGTTATTTCAATTCTCTGACAAGTGGGCGTTTCTTAAGGAGATCCAAGTACCCTTCTAGTATAAAGAATGTCTATAAAAAATAATACTTTTGTTATCTTAAAATTAATTTTTAAATTAATTAATAACATTTTTGAGGAAATTTCCGATAAATTTACTCATTAAATAATTATTAACATTTAGTTGACTAATAAAAAAGATAGCACTCTGAATTACCGGTATACACTTGACAACATCGCAAGAGTGTCCCTAACCTTAAAATTTATTTATGTTTACTGTCTAACTAAAATGACTAAGATGTTCTAGCATTTAAAAAACCGCGGTTACTTATGCGCATGGATAACTGCGCAAGCGGTGTTGCCAAGTCAAATACAAGACTTTAAAGAACGCAAGTGTCCGAGTTATTTTTCATAAAAAATATAAAATATCTCCGTAATACGTTCGGAAAGCTAATTTTTTATTGTTTTAATCTTTAGCTTATTATTTTTTCAATCAAATTCAATGAAAATAAAATTTTTTTTAAATCGTTAATTGCATTAAATTCTTAACCAAATACACGGCTGGTGGAATCTCCATTTACCTACATGTAAAAATTACAATTTTCAAACCTAATTATTTGATTAAATATCCCGGAAACCTACTGTTTTTTTAATTTTTTTATTAATTATTAGGCTACGTAGATGGAATTTACAAATTTTCAGGAAGTTTTAAAAATTTGACCGTGGATCTCCTTAAATTTATTCAATTCCTCCAATACTATATGATTTAAAAAATTAATATCAAGGTTCTGGGAGTAAAAATTGAATACATAAATTTATAAATAATAAAACTTTTATTTATTTAAATTTTTACATTTATTAAATGTATAAATTAACTGCAAAAATCGTATGAAAAATAGTATTCGGAACAATCCGAAAAATTCTGAGTAACCATCTCCGGTACTGTGAGGTTATATTTAGCGAATGCCCTTTCTTTCAGCTGATCTATGTTTTTAGGTAATGCAGGGCGCCGTGACATAACCCAAGCTGTTTCCACGCTGAAAAGTTTGTGGAAAAAATTGACACAAAAAAAAATTGTTAGAAGAAAATGTAACGCCACCTGTTGACAATGTGTCTAACTATGTACCCATATAGCAATCTTTTTCAAGGCTTGAGCAAATCTGGTCTCAATTTTGATAGTTGTTAGTGTCTTTTTCTACCTATGGGTTTCGCTCCAGATACTTGTAGCAAATTCAATTGACAAGTCTTGAACAAGCCTTGTACAAGAACTTTCGGCCAGATTATAGCTCAAGAATTGTGGAAGAAAATTGAGAAAATTTGAAGATGCTTATTGATAAACTAACTATATCAATTCTTGAGAAAGACTGACACCAGAAGCATGCTGAATATACTTGTGCAAGACTTGCTCAAGACCTGCTCAAGATCAAATGTTTTCGAATGACCGTTCTTATCATTCTGCCCCTCCTATATTTACTATAGGATCAGTGGATCTCATTCAGCTTAACCTTTTAGAGTATAGACCTACTGTTTTATCGATCAAGACAAAATTATTTTAAAATGACCACCACTGAATCAATAGATCTTCAAGTAGTGGAGGGGAAAAAGTGCTATTAAATATATAATGCATGATGCATCTTGAGCAAATCTTGAGCAAGTTACGCTTCAACATTTGCTGTTAGTTTTTGGTTGACAAATGCTTTAGAAATGAACAAATTACTGAGAATTACGGATCTTGAGCAAATCTTGAGCAAGGCATGGGTAAGTGTCTGTTGTGAGTTTCTGATTCAAAAAATCCGTCAGAAAGTTTTTCAATGCACCTTGCATTAGACTTGTCTCATATTCTTACACAAGATGTCTTGAGCTAGTTATATATAAATCTTGAACCAGTTCTTTCTACATAAACTTGAGCAAGACCCATATGCAGAAAAAGACACTAGCAACTAGGGGTTTTGCTCAAGACACTGACACCTAAATCTTGCTCAAGCACATGTTACCTGGGCAGGTTATTTTAAATATAATTTCTATCACTTAGACCTTATTACCCGAAAAGAATTTTCGCTTCGTATCATGAGTCGTGCAATAAATATTAGCCTTATTATTGAAACTTACTGTCCATTTTTTCGATTTTCGCAGGTCCAGAGTATCGAGTACTTCTTGTAGTCGATATCAAGAACCAAGTGTTCTTTATTAACATTACCCAATACCGGAATACCATAGATAAATCTTGTTCCTTGTCGGTCTTTTATTACCCTTTCAACTGATGTTGCAATACCGTCAGATCTAAAGCATCAAATTTTATATTAATTTTCTTAGAAAATAATGCCAATTGAAATAAAATCATATCTATTATAATTACACAGTTGAATAACTCTTGTTAATAACTACTGAAACACCCTTTACTGGTTTGCGCCACTGTACTTTAGCGCATATATCTGAACCATCGTAATTGTTAGTGCTACGTTGAACTTCATACCAATATCCAGCTTTCTGCACAAATTTTATTTTCATCATTATATATAACAAGAAATTTTGCTTACCTTATTTTTACTTCAATCTTACTTTGTTTAAATCAACGGGTTCTACAACCACAATTGGGCAAGGTCCTTCAGACAATGAAGGAGTTGTAGTACCCGATGCAGAAGATGATGATGATGATGATGATGATGAAGAGGATCCAGATTGAGATGATGTAAAAGCGCAGGCGATTAAGCAGAAGAAAATAAGATTGGCAAACATTTTTTTAGCAATAAACTCTTGCACACTTTAAAATAGAAATTAGTCTGCTTGATTCTTTTGATTTTTTTCAAAACGATTTTGTATCTCTAATAAGGTTTGAATCAGCGAAGCGGTATATATGTGCCGTGATGCCCCTTAATAAATATTACGTACTTTTTATGCTAATTTCAAAGTTAAGATAGCGGTGTTTACTAATTAATATTCTTAACAAACAATTAATTCTACACATTTCTTATTGGCATTAATAATACAATTCTTACGGGTATTGCCTCGTTATGTAACCACGCTTTGTAAAATCCTTAATTAAAATCCATAATTTTATCGTCCAATAGCTCTTTTTTTTAAATTAACTGACCTGTAAAAATATTTTACAGTGATTTATTTTTAAAACAATGAGCAATGTAATAAGAAATTTATTTTGTCCAAAATTTTTAACATTTGAACTATAAATTAATTCAAGTAGCTATTGATAAATAATTATTTAAGAAGATATTTTTTTTATCAGTGTATATATTAATAAATATTCTTCTGTTGCCGTGTTAAACAAAAAATTAGCTGTCTGCAAGGTGGTTACGGACAATGTAGATAGCTTAACTGGACGCGCACTTGGCGCGTAACCAAAAGATCCGGGTTCGATTCCCAGCCCGAATTATTTTTCTGTTTTCTAAGTTAAAGTTAATCAAGATGACTTATTAAGCTTATATTTAACTAAAAACAGTTCAAGTAACTATATATTGGGGTTTAATAAATTCAAGATTTAGGAGAAAATAATTTGAGTTTCTATAACACAATACTTTGGATGTAATGCACCATTGAATCTTTACTTATAAGCTTTGGTAAATATACAAGAAACATAAATTACATTTAAAAATCACGTCTTAGTATTTAGGCTTCGATGATATTCTTGATTGCAAAAGAACAATCAGTGTCTTATGGTTAAATTTTCCGAGAGCCATCTAGCGTTGTTAATATTTACATATAGTTGCCATAATCATAAGAATCATATAGTTGGCGGCAATTTGACAAGTCGTTGCTGACCATTTGTGGCATTGTGAGGTTGAATTTAGCGAATGCATTACGTTCCGCCTGGTAAATGTTATTGGGTAACCTCGGATATCTTGATAGCACAAGAACTGTTTCACGACTGCGAAAGTTTATTGAAGAACAAGTATTAATTATTTCTTCATTGAAAAGAATTTCTAAAGTTAAATATGTTTGGTTGGGATTGATGGTCTTACTGTTGGTTTCCGCGATTTTCGCAGGTCCAGGCTATCACATAATTGTCGTAATCGATGTCCAGGTACACATGGTTCGGTATGATCGTTCCCAAAATTGGAACATGGTACGTGAAATAAATTTTTGGTCCTCTTTGTTCCACTCGTAAAACAGTTGTCTCAGTTATGCTAGCGCTAGATATGATTAAAGATGTCGAAAATTAATTATGAAGACAACAAATTAATTAATGAAGATAGTTATAAATATTGAAATTAATTACACAGTTGAGAAACTTTTGTTTATAACATTGGAGACGCCGTTGACTGGTTTCCGCCAAATCGCTTTGACACATCTATCTAAGCCGAAGTTATCGTTAGCGCTGCGTTGAACTTCATACCAATATCCAGATTTCTGAAGAAATTATATAATTTAATATTATCGTGCTTCAAGACCGTAGTTTTTTTTTCGATTGTAATTATTTTAATTCTATTAAAAAAAAAATATTCTATGCAAAATTAAAGTTTACTTAAATCAAGAACAATTTTTTAGATCAAGAATTTTTTTTCTTGATTCAAGATCAAACTGTTAAAAATGATATTTATTTAAAAAAAAATCCCGTGATTCAAGTATAATATTGTTGACTTGAAAATATTTAGGAAGAGAAAAAAAATTTTGATTGAAGAATATTTTGTTGTTGATTTAGAAGATTTTGATTAAAAAATTTTTAATTATTAAATAGAGTAAAATTATTTTTCAATAAAGAGTTTTTATTTATATATTTCAATATAAAATAATGTTTTGGACAATGAAATTAAATTTATCAACGCAAGAGATATTTTACTTATTCAAAAGCCAAATAACTTAAATCAAGAACATGATGTTGTTGGCTTTCGATAATTAGACCTTAGCGCCGCCTTTAGAATGCCGACAAAATTAATTATTACTAATATATCAATAAGTACGTAACTCGCCCGCTTAGCATGCTATGGCTGAGCGGCTTGTGTGGTTGTAGTCGGTCCGGTCCGAGCAGGGTTCGAGCCCTACCTTGGGTATTTATTTCCGTTATTTTTAATTTATAAAAAAATGAATATTCTTCAGCCGAGAACGTTAATGTTCTTTAATTAAATATTTACTTATTGAGCTGTGAGTTGCATTTCTTAATTCAATAAAACTGTTTAGTTTTTGACGAAAAAGTTTTTACTTTAATTTAAAAATAAGTTGTTTTTCAATAAAAAAATTTTTTTTCTTCATTTAAATTCTTCAATAATATTCATCTTATAAAAATTTATCGAACTAAATCTAATAAGTTTTTTAGTTAATGAAGACTATCATTTTGATCGAACTCTCAAAAGATAACTTCAAAAATTGAACAATTACTTACTTTGTTCATATCAAGAGGCGCCCCAACAATTTCGGGACACGTACCATAGGTCCATCCGGAATTCCCAGATGATGAAGCTTGAGATGACGCTGATGCTGATGAAGAGGATGCGCTTCTAGCTGATGCTGACGACTGGGCAATAGCACCAGCTGCCAAGCAGAAGAATATCAGATTGGCGAACATTTTTAAGTAACAAACTTTTGAACACTTGGAATTATAACTTAGCAGCCGATTGCCGATTTTTCGAATGTAGGACTAACTCCTTCACCAAATCAACTTTACCTTCCCAATAATAAAATTCGATGTGCAAATCGAAGCTTATATATCGCTTTTTTGGCGAATATAAATACTTATGTAAAAGATATCAGTGTTTAAATATATTGCTAAATTTAATCATTTACAATGCATATTTTTTACTAATTTTTAGTATCGAGTATTCAGACAATGATGATGCAAACATTACATAGTCAGAAAGTAAAATAATTATTAAACCCCAAAAAAATTTTTTTTATTGGATTAATTGCTATTTTTACATGAAAAAAGATGTCTTCTGAAGGGACAAACACGATAACTTTCAAAAAAATGAATTTTTAAACTCTATCTATTTTTTTATTTTTTCATTTATCTTATGAGAAGCGATATATTCAAAATCGCAGCTTAATATTGTGTTATTTAGTTACAATTTATTTTTTTTCAGCTGGCAATTGCAGAAAGTTTCTGTCTTTTTAGTAGCCATATGCAATAATTCATCTTAATTTATTTATTTATTTTATTTTCGCTGATACTATACTAAATTGTGACGTAGCATATTTCTTTTAATGACTTTCTTGACACGAAAGAGGGCGTAGAATTTCTAGAAAAATAAATAATATTCGCGGGAGTATTTGAACGTCAAACTTTAGTTAATATAACTTATAAGTTTTAACTCTCCTCTAGTAAGACGCTTTAGCGATCATGCGCTCCCTGTCGGAAATTTTAGGCACTACTGCTTATAAAATGTTTATAAATTGGCAAATGGTAAAGTTTTTTCAGGAGAAAGGACATCATTCTTGAATTCTTTCGATGTAATGAAGGGTAGTAAGTTCACATGAAAAAAAACTACTAACATCATCAAATTTTTATTAGTTTGGGTACAACAAATATAACATACATCTGAAATTCATTTTTGACGACAATTTTGGACCCAGAATTTGCGTTACTAATTTATGCAAATGCATTAATTACACGTGTCAGATAAAATTCCAGGAATTTAATTATTTTCGCAAAAGTCGTAAGAATCATATGCATCATTACAACCTGACAAGTCGAAGCTGACCATTGGTGGCATTGAAAGGTTGAATTTAGCACATGCTTTTTGTTCGATTTCTTCGATGTTCTCGGGTAAATTCGGGTGACGTGACAGCAAAGTAAATGTTGCACGGCTGCAAAAATTTATTGAAGAATAAGCATTAATCATTTCTTCATTGAAAAGAATTGATGTTTAATTTTGATTGATGGTCTTACTGTTTGTTTCCGTGATTTTCGCAGGTCCAAAATAGCGCATGACTGTCGTAATCAAGGTCTAGGTAGACTTGATTCCTGCTAACCACTCCCAAAATTGGAACGTGGTAGGTGTAATAATTTTTCGCTCCGCATTTCTTCATTTGTGAAACAGTTGTCTCAGTTACGTGAGCGCTAGATGATTAAAGATGTCCAAAATTAATTATGAAGATAAAATTAATGGAGATTATTATAAATATTGAATTTAATTACACGTTGGAGTAACTTTTGTTTATGATATACGAGACACCGTTCTGAGGTTTGCGCCAAAATACTTTCGCACATTTGTCCAACCCGGAGAAATCGTTAGCACTGCGTTGAACTTCATACCAATATCCAGCTTTCTGAAGATATAAATATTTCGGAAAAATGCTGGTACGGGATTATTAATACACTCCAAGAAAAGTATTTGAGAAAAATACTTACTTTAGTCATGTCGAGGGGTACCCCAGAAATGATTGGACAAAGACCATCAGTCCATTGGGATTGAGAATCGCAAGATGAAGCCGAAGATCCTGAGTTAGCATTGCTTCCTGCTGAGGATCCTGAGTTAGCATTGCTTCCTGCTGAGGATCCTGAGTTAGCATTGCTTCCTGCGGACGATCCTGAGTTAGCATTGCTTTCTGCTCCAGATCCTGAGTTAGCATCGCTTCCTGCAGACGATCCTGAGTTAGCATTGCTTTCTGCTCCCGATTCTGAGTTGGCATTGCTCTCTGCTCCAGATCCTGAGTTGGAATTACTTTCTGCTCCAGATCCTGAGTTGGCATTGCTCTCTGCTCCAGATCCTGAGTTGGCATTACTTTCTGCTCCAGATCCTGAGTTGGCGTTACTTTCTGCTCCAGATCCTGAGTTAGCATTGCTTTCTGCTCCAGATCCAGAGTTGGCATTACTTTCTGCTCCAGATCCTGAGTTGGCATTGCTCTCTGCTCCGGATCCTGAGTTAGCGTTACTTTCTGCTCCAGATCCTGAGTTAGCATTGCTTTCTGCTCCAGATCCAGAGTTGGCATTACTTTCTGCTCCAGATCCAGAGTTGGCATTACTTTCTGCTCCAGATCCTGAGTTAGCATTACTTTCTGCTCCGGATCCTGAGTTAGCATTGCTTCCTGCCCCAGATCCTGAGTTCGCATTGCTTCCTGCTCCAGATCCTGAGTTAGCATTGCTTCCTGCCCCAGATCCTGAGTTAGCATTGCTTCCTGCTCCAGATCCTGAGTTAGCATTGCTTCCTGCTCCAGATCCCGAGTTAGCATTGCTTCCTGCGCCAGATCCTGAGTTAGCATTGCTTCCTGCCCCAGATCCTGAGTTCGCATTGCTTCCTGCTCCAGATCCTGAGTTAGCATTGCTTCCTGCTCCAGATCCTGAGTTAGCACCGCCGCCTGCTAACGCTCCCGAAGAAGTATCACGTTTTCTAAGCGTATCTTCAGCCCCGTAATGTCCCGATGTTGCTCCTGAATTTTCATTACTCTCAGCTGCAGCTATGGCTTGAAGAAGATCACTTTCGTATCTTGGATCTTCAAGCGTGTTTTCTCCTGATTGTGCTGCTGATGATGCAAAACTACCACTTCCAGCTGCTGCACCTCCAGCTGCTGCACCTTCAACTAAAGTTCTAGCCGCTAGGCAAAGGAGTATCGGAAGAACCAACATTTTGAACACAAACTTTTAAACACTCGCGGATAGTGATCAGTTGCTGTCCACTCATTTATCTTATATATGAATAGTTATTTTGTCTTACCAAAACAGTTTTGTTTATTTAACTGATTAATGATAAGCCTATCAGTGCTTCGATACATAATTAATTAAAAACATCGTATGCTTCAAATAAATAATTCCAGATTTCAGGTGCGGCTATTGTTGAGATAATATTTATATTTTCTTTAAGTTGTTTAATTTTGTATTGCTCAACTTTCGACTGTTATTTAATCAGACATCTAAAAATAATTCCATCAACATCAATACTGTTTTTTTGTTAACGTTGACATTAACATTTGTGCATAATTTATCAAAAAATAATATCAATCATTTCATTAATTAGTTAAAAATTCTTCGAGAGAATTACTTTTTTATTTCAATAAGGGTAAATATCTATTTGCGTGTACACTAAGTGAATAGTTTATTCAAATCATCCTTATTTTACACAAATAAAATTATTTTAAAATGACCACCACTGAATCAATAGATCTTCAAGTAGTCGAGGGGAAAAAGTGCTATAAAATATATATAATGCATGATGCATCTTGAGCAAGTCACGCTGCAACATTTGCTGTTAGTTTTTGGTTGACAAATGCTTTAGAAATGAACAAATTACTGAGAATTACGGATCTTGTGGAAATCTTGAGTAAGTGATGGGTAAGTGTCTGTTGTGAGTTTCTGATTCAAAAAATCCGTCAGGAAATTTTTCAATGCACCTTGCATTAGACTTGTCTCATATTCTTCCACAAGATGTCTTGAACTAGTTATATATAAATCTTGAAGCAGTTCTTTCTACATGAACTTTGAGCAAGATCTTATCTATACGTAGAAAAAGATACTAGCAACTAGGGGTTTTGCTCAAGACACTGGCACCTAAATCTTGCTCAAGCACATGTTACCTGGGTAGATTTGTTAATTTCTATTAGGGTAATTTCTAATAAACTAAAATGATCAGGTAAGAGTTGAATTTTTATAGTTTTTTCCCATGATTAAATTTATTTAAAATTTATGTATGTACATAAAATTAGTGAATTATAACAGGCGAAGATAAACGTATTAATTAAAATTACGATAACTCAAATAGCGACAGTAGCGACTCAAACGTCTTATGATTTATTTCAAAGAAGATTTGTTAAGGAGATCCACGCGAAGTAGTCAAATTTTTAAAACTTCTTGAAAATTTGTAAATTCCATCTACGTAGGCTGATAATTAATAAAAAAAATTAAAAAACAAGTAGGCTTCCGGGATATTTAATCAAATAATTAGGTTTGAAAATTGTAATTTTTACATGTAGGTAAATGGAGATTCCACCAGCCGTGTATTTGGTTAAGAATTTAATGCAATTAACGATTTGAAAAAAATTTTATTTCCATTGAATTTGATTGAAAAAATAATAAGCTAAAGATTAAAACAATAAAATAGTAGCTGTCCGAACGTACTACGGAGATATTTTATATTTTTTATGAAAAATCACTCGGACACTTGCGCTCTTTAAAGTCTTGTATTTGACTTGGCAACACCGCTTGCGCAGTTACCCATGCGCATAAGTTACCGCGGTTTTTTAAATGCTAGAACATCTTAGTCATTTTAGTTAGACAGTAAACATAAATAAATTTTAAGGTTAGGGACACTCTTGCGATGTTGTCAAGTGTATACCGGTAATTCAGAGTGCTAGATTTTTTATTAGTCAATTAAATGTTAATAATTATTTAATGAGTAAATTTTTCGGAAATTTCTTCAAAAGTGTTATTAATTAATTTAAAAATTAATTTTAAGATACCAAAAGTATTTCCACTTATTTTTTCATAGCCATTTTTTACACTAGGTTACTTGGATCTCCTTAAATCTAGTCTTGTTAAAACCATGTAGGTATACAAATAAAAAACTCTATTAATGGTCATTTATCATAAAATTTATTGATGCTGAATAAAATACAATTTACTGACGAGCGGTTTTTAAAAGCGACATCTGTCAGTTGTAACAAAGCTTTTTATGCACAAGTTACATCATAACTGTCGTAGTCACAGCCAGAATTGTCTTGGTAGTGCATCGCCGGTACATTGAGGCCATATCTAGCGAAAGCATCTCTAAATATGGCGTCCATTCTAGGACCTGATGTTCGTTGACGCGAATGGACCCAGGCTGTTTCAATGCTGTAAATAGTTGTTCCACGTTAATGACAATGAATCTTTCTATAAAGAATACTGATTATCTTTTGGTTAAATTATAAACTTACTGTTGGTTTCCGATCTCTTCACAAGTGTAGAGAATCACATGGTCATCGTAATTAACGTCAAGGAAGACACGGTTTCTGACAGTGTTACCAAGAGTTGGAACATGGTAAGTGACAGCCATTCCTTCGTTAGTGGGGACGGCCACGGAAATCGTTTTAGAAGTCATATCGTACCTATATTAATTAAAAATTGGCAATTATTATCAATTATGACGAATTAGTTGTAACTTAGTTGTAATTTATGATAATCTAAAAAGAAATATTAATTACAATCCGGAAACTGAGTTGTATATAAGTAGCGCAGAATTGTTCTGAGGTTGAGGGTACCAAACAAATCTGGTGCAGCTGTCCATGCCATCGTAATTATTAGCGCTACGACGGGTTTCATACCAAGCTCCGGCCATCTGTAGAAAGAAAATCATCATTGTAACTATAGCAACCTTTTTTTCTGTATAAAATCATATATATAAATATACTTACACGTTCAAAATCAGGTGTTTCTCCAGCAACGTAGGGACAAGGTCCAGCAGTGGTTATTGGAGGATAAACGTAAGCTGGCCCAGAAGAGGCAGACGAAGATGACGACGATGACGATGATGATGAAGAACTTGCTGATGACTGAGCAAAAGCACCAGCAGTAAAGCACAGAAGAATCGGAAGAACCAACATTTTCTCAAGTTTTACTCTCAAACACTCGCTAGAAGTCGTTTGGTAATAATTGACTTTTCCGACCCGTTTTTATATACCGATCGCTTTCACTTGGCTGAACAATTTTATATACTTAATAATTAGTTAATCAGGAAAACCAAGGTCAAGGTCTAAATCAGTGATTTGCCGAATTTTTTAAATAAACATTTTTTAATCTCAGGAGGAAACTTTTTAAAACGATAATATTTTAATTGAAAATATTATGAAATTTTGGAAGCTTAAAATTACTTTAAGATTATTTCGCAATGTTTTCTTTTAATCGCAGCAAAAAAGTATTTTGTGAGAGCATATTGAATTATACATGGTTCTATATAATTTTATATAGTAATAAATACAATTTTTTGAAAAATTACGCATGGAGAAAAGTGCCCGCAACCCCTTTATTTATAAATGGAGTGGGGGAAATTTTTGATATGTATTGGCAATAAATTAAAAGTTTGTTGGTGGAAACTTAGCTTAAGTACCCTCCTGGTGTAAAGAATGTCTATAAAAAAATAATTCTTTTGTTATGCATCTTAGAATTAATTTTTAAATTAATTAATAACATTTTTGAGGAAATTTCCGAAAAAATAACTCATTAAATAATTATTAATATTTATTTGACTAATAAAAAATATAGCGCTCTGAATTACCGGCGCGAGAAAAAATATAAAAAATATATATTTCTGTTGATTATTCATAGGAATAATGTTATAAATAAACGTGTAAATATTTAGCAAATAGTTTCAAATACAATTTATTAATAAGAAGAAAATATTATACGTAGTAACAACTTAATGGTTCAAGAAAGATTGACTACTTACGAGTAGGCAGTAATACAATAATCCTTATTGGTATTTATGAGTAACATATTGAAGTCGAATAATTATAGAAATATATAAGTACGCATGTTTGCTATAGTGATTAAACTTTCAACAATTTCGAAATATATAAAAAATATGTTTTAAATATATTAAAAATCTATAAAAAATATGTTATAATAAATATATTTTTAATAACTAATTTTTGGCCGATTTTCATATATATTTTATATATTTAAAATATATTTTATATATATTCAAAATATATTTTTTTTATATTTTTAGCTATGTATTTTAAAATACTAGAAGTTAAAGTTGCGCGCGCATGCGCATGCTTTGACTATAGAATTTGTATATATTTTCATGCTTACGATATATTCGACCAATCACGTTACGCATAGTTTGATGCCACATACAGTTCATCTCAATTTTATTATCGGATATCTTGAATATATATATATATCTAAAGTATATTTAAAATATATAAAATATATATGAAAATCGGCCAAAAATTAGTTATTAAAAATATATTTATTATAACATATTTTTTATAGATTTTTAATATATTTAAAACATATTTTTTATATATTTCGAAATTGTTGAAAGTTTAATCACTATAGCAAACATGCGTACTTATATATTTCTATAATTATTCGACTTCAATATGTTACTCATAAATACCAATAAGGATTATTGTATTACTGCCTACTCGTAAGTAGTCAGTCTTTCTTGAACCATTAAGTTGTTACTACGTATAATATTTTCTTCTTATTAATAAATTGTATTTGAAACTATTTGCTAAATATTTACACGTTTATTTATAACATTATTCCTATGAATAATCAACAGAAATATATATTTTTTATATTTTTTCTCGCGCCGGTAATTCAGAGCGCTATATTTTTTATTAGTCAAATAAATATTAATAATTATTTAATGAGTTATTTTTTCGGAAATTTCCTCAAAAATGTTATTAATTAATTTAAAAATTAATTCTAAGATGCATAACAAAAGAATTATTTTTTTATAGACATTCTTTACACCAGGAGGGTACTTAAGCTAAGTTTCCACCAACAAACTTTTAATTTATTGCCAATACATATCAAAAATTTCCCCCACTCCATTTATAAATAAAGGGGTTGCGGGCACTTTTCTCCATGCGTAATTTTTCAAAAAATTGTATTTATTACTATATAAAATTATATAGAACCATGTATAATTCAATATGCTCTCACAAAATACTTTTTTGCTGCGATTAAAAGAAAACATTGCGAAATAATCTTAAAGTAATTTTAAGCTTCCAAAATTAATCTCATTATAATACAACACTTATTTAAATAATAAAATAAATAATGATTTTACTATTAGGTAGTAGCAGAGCAGACCAAAACATCTCATAGGAAATGTAACAAATTTTGTACTTCAGAATTATTTAAACGTAATTATAAACATCATTTTACACTTCTTGTGGTTATCAAAAAAAAAATTCTTATATATGTTAATTATATATAAGCAGATGAAAAAAGTGATTTTTCACAAAACCTCCTTAATCATCAATTTTATACTATAGAAGCTGAAAAAAAAATTTTTTCTAACATTTTTACTCGGTAATTGAATAAATTCTATTTTCGTTCGCCTTAATTGCTCTTAGATAACATATTATAAAATTATTTCATTCTCATTAATTTTTTTTTTTTCTAGTAAGATGAAAGAATTTTTTTTGACATAAAAATACAAAATTTAACTCATTTATTTATTTATTTTCATATATTAAATAATAAAATTTTCTAGTTAAACCCAATCATGAATCCTGAAAATAATCACGAGCCTGAATTTGCTCAGGTCGGACGCTGAATACTACGACAAGTTTCTTATTTACGTATGTCATAGATACCGGAATCGTTGGATCTACTTCAAGTGCATCAGTAGTGCTGTTTGATTGATAATCATGATAGTCACCACCACGCGAATTAATAATCTCGGTCTCACTGTCTAAAGACGATAGATAAAAAACAGAGAAAATAGCTCCATCTGTTTCTGTAAAGTGACCATGGGAATGATCAATTGTCCACATTTTTGGAACTTTGATTTGGACATTCCAAGCATTGACAGTCCTGGTACAGAAAAATTTTATTAAACCTTTCAATTTAATTATCGTAATGCTGGACTATACTTTTATTAACTTTCAGATTTTTTATTTAGTATGTAAACACGATAACTCCCGAAAAAATAGATGTATCGAGGCCGGGGTTTTTTTATTAGTTCCAGAATTCGATTAACTGCTGCCGTATTTAATATCAGTTGCCCAGCTTACGTAGTTTTTTTTTTAATGAATTTTTATTAAACTTCACAATGATACACATGTACAAAAAATAACTTGTTATTTCTCTCACGTGAAAACTATGGCGCCACTTGATAAAGTTAAATTGAGGTCAACCAATCATATTACGAGATTTTTTTTAGGCGCGCGCATGCAAGAAAATTAGGCGGGAATAATTCAAAAAAAAAAAATATAAAATACTCTCTAAAAAATTAATAAATTTTTTTGTCTTTTAAAAATCTTTAAGTCTCTTACTATTGGATATAATTAACGATAGTAGATACTTAAAATAATAATTAAATGAGAAGTATAGTCCACTGTTACCTGTTACTATTCTATTTAATAAAAATCGTTTAAAATTATTTTTATTTTCTTACCGTGTAGGATCGGGATAAAACGGCTTTAGATCCCACAAATGACGATCATTCATTAGCGCGAAGTAATTATCAAAGACATAAAAGTATTTTCTTTCGACAGGATTTCTGAACTCAGCAGTCCATTGAGTCGGGAAGTTTTCAGTATTTCTATTAGAATTGATACTCTGGACCACAATTCTATATTCGGAGTTCCAAGATGTGGTTACAATGTTCGAGCCTTGCTGATAAGAGTAATTTATCTGAGTAAACGGTAGGCCAGTTACCAATTCAAGTACCATAGTACTTAGTACACCTAGTACAAGCTAACAAATGTTTAAGTAAAGATTAGTGCTGCTATTAATTTTTATTTATAAAAAATAAACACTTACCGAAATATAAATCATTAACTTCATCTTAATAATTCGATGATCGATATCGAACAGTTCTTATAGCAAAACTATATTGTTGGGAATTCCTCGGTTTGGTAATTTTTCAATCAAGAAAATAATTGCTGATTAATTTGTCAAATTAATAACTCAACATTGTCTCATTTAATTTTTGGGGGCAATAAATTTTTTAGAGCAAGGTAATTGTCTTTTAATTAACTAATCGTGTCGTTATGAACTCGTACAGTAGATAAATGTAAAGATTAGAAATTCTATTTTTATAAATTGTATCGATAAATTTCGCTTGTTATCAAAAACTTTAAAAATGGTTAGCTCGGAAAAATATTTTTGAAAGTTTCTTTTTAAAATTCATCTTTGTAATTTATGCAATTAAATTATTGACCTGAAAAATTTTCAATTAAAGTACATACACTGATAAAAAAAATGACTTAATTAAAGAAAAATTTTTTCTTCAAAATGTCATTCTTCTTTTAAGTAATTCAATTCTCTTAACTTAAAAAATTGATTCTCGAATCAAGAAATTTGGTTGTTTTAAAATAAGATATATACAACTTCGCCCAAGAATTTCTTTCTCTTGGATTTAGATAGACGATAACGTTGGTTCAAGATATTACCGACTTGTTCCAAGTATGGCGCGACTCGAAAATTAACATATTACTTAACTTGTTTTAAGCATATAAATTTTAGTATTTTTGCTATTCTCTGTATTAATAAATATTTTGTCGGCAAATAGAGAAATACAAATTTTTTAACTTCAAAGTTTTTTTCTGACTTAAACTTATAACATTATAAATAAAAAAATTTGTTCTTGAATCAACAATCAATAATTCTTTAAATAAAATAAAATATTATTCTTTATTGAAGAGAATCGTTTTTGAATAAAGAATTCACTTGTATCGATCAACGATAATATAGTCTTGAACCGAGTAAAAATTTTATCAATCGGAGTGATTAGATCTCTCACTCCAAGAAACATGAGATCAAGACAAGAATTTCTTGAAATACCCATATAGCAATCTTTTTCAAGGCTGGTCTCAATTTCGACAGTTGTTAGTGTCTTTTTCTACCTATGGGTCTTGCTCCAGATACTTGTAGCAAATTCAATTGGCAAGTCTTGAACAAGCCTTGTACAAGAACTTTGGGGCAGATTATAGCTCAAGAATTGTGGAAGAAAATTGAGAAAATCTAAAGATGCTTATCGATAAACTAACTATATCAATTCTTGAGAAAGACTGACACCAGAAGCATGCTGAATATACTTGTGCAAGACTTGCTCAAGATCTGCTCAAGATCAAATGTTTTCGAATGACCGTTCTTATCATTCTACCCCTCCTATATTTACTATAGGATCAGTGGATCTCATTCAGCTTAACCTTTTAGAGTATAGACCTACTGTTTTATCGATCAAGACAAAATTATTTTAAAATGACCACCACTGAATCAATAGATCTTCAAGTAGTCGAGGGGAAAAAGTGCTATAAAATATATAATGCATGATGTATCTTGAGCAAATCTTGAGCAAGTCACGCTTCAACATTTGCTGTTAGTTTTTGGTTGACAAATGCTTTAGAAATGAACAAATTACTGAGAATTACGGATCTTGAGGAAATCTTGAGCAAGTGATGGGTAAGTGTCTGTTGTGAGTTTCTGATTAAAAAAATCCGTCAGAAAGTTTTTCAATGCACCTTGCATTAGACTTGTCTCATATTCTTCCACTAGATGTCTTGAGCTAGTTATATATAAATCTTGAAGCAGTTCTTTCTACATGAACTTGAACAAGATCCATATGTAGAAAAAGACACTAGCAACTAGGGGTTTTGCTCAAGACACTGGCACCTAAATCTTGCTCAAGCACATGTTACCTGGGTATAAGACAACTAGTTTTCTTCATAATAATTTTCTTGGAGCAAGAATATTTTCTGGATATTCTCTCAATAATAAAGATATTTTTAGTTTTATTCAAGAGTGTATTTGTTGAGCTGAATAAATTTAATATTAATAATCTATAATAGTTCCTCTGTAAAAAAAAATAATTAATTATGAGTATAATAAATTTTAAATTACAAATTAGTTTTAAATGATTTATTAATCAACTCCTTCAAAAACATTTCCTTACAAGTAAATGAAGGTTTTAAATGCTGCGGTACAATTTGTAAAATCACGATGCATCATTTTTGGTAATGTGAGATTATGATTATATTGACGGAATGTCCTTCGTTTTGCTTCTTCAATAGCACGAGTCAATCTTGGATAACGTGAAAACACATAGGTCCTTTCGATGCTGCAAAAAAATCAAAGTAATGAGTCAAAAAAGTTATCTATAGTAATTAAAAAAAGTTTGGAAAATCCAAACGCTTCGCTTATGAGGCGTCCAATTAGTATTTAAATACAATTATTGTTTGAACTTACCGTTGGTTATTACCCACGTTCTCACAGCTCCAATCTATCAGATAGGTATCAAAGTCAGTACCAATGAACTTGCGCTCGTAAGACATTCTACCCAAAATTGGCAAAAGATAAGTGATCATCAATCCTTTTTCAGTTGGAACCGCTTCTGCCAATGTTGTAGAAGTTTCATTTGCACTGAATTATTAATTATATATTATTGTTTAATTTATTTATTTAATAATAATAATAATAATATTAATATTAAAATAGTAATTACAGAACTGAAGCGGCACTGAAGATAAGTATTGTAGAATTAGTGTTTGTTTCTGTCCACTCTACTTCCTGACATTCATCGAATCATACATATTTATACTACGTTCGAGTTCAAACCACCTGCCGCTGAACTAAAAAGTAATTTTGATTCAATTTTTGAGAAATTAATTAGATTAATTTTTTCCGGTGAAATTTTATTATATATCATGTAAAATAGTATAAAATTAATTTATAATTTAATATTGAAAAAAATGTTATTTGTACCGGTTACTATATTTAATAATGACTCTCGCTCTTTAAAGTTCATCTTTTCAAACAGTAAAAATTTCCATTTTAATTAATATGTATTTTATAATATTATAAATATTATTGTTTTGGAAATACCGCAAAGATTCGGTATTTATACGATATAAATGCTGTATGTTTATCGTAATACTTCAGTTTTTTTGCCGAATTATTACGAAATAAATTCAGAATATTTACGGCAATACAATAGGAAAATTACGGTATATTAACAGCATTAAAACCGTAAATGTACCGCATATTTACTGTATATTTGCGGCACTATTGCAGCAAAGAACCGGAAAAGAAGATCCCTACTTTCTATTACCGGTAAAATACCAAAAATATGCTGCTTTACTACTATTATTCAATAGCTTAAAATTTTTTTTTATAATATTATAAATTATCATGAATAATTTTTAAGAGGTTAATAAATTAATTTCTCTATTATTAGTATTATAATTTTTTTTAGTCCAGACCGGGATTCGAACCCGGATGATTTAGTTACGCGCCAAAGGCTCTACCAGTTGAGTTATCTGAGACATTATCCGTAACTATTTATTCAGTCACCTAATAAGACCCAACGAGTAATAAACACCACCGTCCATCTTACGGTAGAAAGCATTATATCTTTAATTATATCAGTATAAACGCGGCAAAATTGCAGTATACCTTCGGTATTTTTACCGTATAAATACTATTTTATTATTGTAAAATTATAGTAATATTATAGTTAATACATAGATTTTTTACGGTAAAAATTCTAGAGTTTTACGGTAATTTTATCGTATTATTCCTGAACTTTGCAGCAAAAGTACGGTAAAAATGCTGTATAACTATAGTAAGAAAAAAATTTTTGTTTCGCTCAAAGTGAACTTTTTTTTCTGTGCATTTATTAACAGTTAATAAAGCTTATTAAATATAAACAAATTCTTCTATCAGAGCACCGAAATGTTTTATAATTGTTAAAAGTAATTAATAATTTTTTAAGATACACTTACGGAATTTAACTCATATCGAGGCGCAACAATGTTAGGACAAGGCCCGTTCATTAAATTTTGAGATCCAGGAACTTTATTGGAACCGTATGAATTAGCATGAGAAGAAGACGAAGATGCAGAATGAGATGAAGTCGATGTTATTGACTGGGCAAAAGCACCAGCAGTTACGCAAAAAATAATATTAGTAAAAAGAACTAACATTTTTTTAGTTTAAATTTAAACAATCGGATTTAAATTTTCACAAAGAGTGATTTATATTTTTTTATTTTCCTCATATAGTTAGTTTTCTGTTTAATTATTGCCATCTGTTGAAATAAATTCTATTGCACAATTGAAATTTTTTTGATATCAGTAATTAAAAAATACAAAATTATTGATAACGACAATAAATAATATTTCACATTTTACAATATTATTCGATTTATTAATAAAGTACAAATAAAATAACAATTTCGTTTTTTTTTTTTTTTTTAATTTTTTTATACAACCGATATGCAAAATTCAATAAAGCAATTACGTATTTATTTAAACGCAAAAAAAAAACAATCTGAATAAACCAAAGGATCGAAATAATTTAATAAAATTTTAGCTAATATTGATAAAATTTATCAATTTTATATTCTTTTTATATATAAAAATTCTGTATTACTTAAAATGTTTTTTAAATCATTCTTAATTATTTTTATTTATAAATTGTAATCAAGAAGCACGGTAGATTTCAGAGATGAATTACGAAATAAATTTAAAAAAATTTGATAGATTTAAGCTATCTTTTACACCTAGAAAATAATTAATCAATTAAGCAAATGAATTATCTTAGATAATTAGAGTAATTATTTGTTATGTAAAGAATTTTTCTTTACATATTTATTAATTATAAAAAAATCGAGTATGATTCTATTTCATTTTTTTTCGATTGTAAAAGATAATTCGAGTGTGATCATTAAGTGTCTCGTCCGATCTCTCTTTAAAATTTTACTGTACTTAGGCTATCTCGAATGCGTCAGGGAACTAATAGTCCTAAGTACACAAAATGTTTTTGGGAAAGTTTTTAGATTATTTTTAGATAAGTAAAATAAGAACTCCCAAAATAAATAATAAAAAAAAATAATAAAAGTCTAGATAGTAAATAAGTTTAGGAAAAAATAGTTTAAATAATAATGATAACAAATACGTTAAATAATAATTAATAATAAATAATTTAGCTTAATAATTATTCGGATGTTAAAATGTTAAAATAATAGTAAATAACTAAATGATGTTCAAACAAATAAGAAATACTTTAATAATGACAAAAACTTTAGATAAAAAGGGATTTATTTTAAACCAAAAGATTTTAGGGTAACTCAATCACCGAATTTGAGTGTTAAGACAAATGTCTAAAGAAATTTTAATAACGTTTTTTTTATAATTTTTAGATAATAAAAATTGAACATAAAATGAGAAATGAACTTTACGAATATGAAACAGATAAAAAAAAATAGAACTTAAAAGTTAAACAATTTAAAATGAACAATTATTAAACAATGAAATTCTAAAATAATACAACTTATAAATTAATAAAATAGAAATATTTCTACAAATAATAATTAAATTTAGAAAACAAAAGAGATGCTAGATTCAAGTACATACACATTTATTCATACGATTTTTAATAAATAAATTATTGTTAAACAGTACGAATGTATGTATTTGTCTATGCGTAAATGCGCTTACGTATACACAAACACATAGATGATTAATAGAACATAAGAGTAAGTGAGAAAACTATATTGCGCTCTGACCCAAGTAGAGGGGACTCATACGATATTTTTGAACAACTTAAGAGAGAGGGTAAGGGCCCAAGAAAATAGACAAATAATTGGACATTTGGTTCCCCCAATGAGTGGAAATTAGTAACGCCCTAAAATTCGACACCTTACAATTTTCTCAAGAAAATCTCTCTCGTTGTCCTGACATCCTAGTGTTAACATCGTACAAGTTTTGATAAGTCTGAATAGACCACGTGTTAAATTTACCGAATAACGAATAAAAGATTGTAAAATTAAAAAGTATAATTGTGAAGTGAATCAAATCAAAAGAGTAAGTCAAATCAACAAAGTTCATAAATTTTTATCAGGTACATTTTAAATAACTAATATTTGTGAATTTAAAAATATTGTAAAATCGTTATATGAAAGAAAATGGTTAACTTTCAATCACTGTGTAATAATTGTAATTTAACTAATGATATTAATTTTTGATTTAAACAATATATGTATTAAAATTATTCAACGTACAATTTATTCAACAAACCTATTATTCTCAATAAATATAAACTCGGAAGTTCCCGGTCTATAGGTTTTAAGTGACTTGGGCCGAAACAAATAAATTAATTTAAAGTCCATAATTTGAACGTAACATATTAATAAAGTAATGTATCAGGTAATTGAATTAGTCCTCACATCAAATGTTATCTATCCCTGTCTACATGTCTATATGTATATATATATATATATATATATATATTGGAAGCAAATATTCTCGTTTAACTAGAGGGTTGGGGTAGGACGTTGAGGACTTAACTCATGAGGATGAGTGAAAGTGATGAGACGTCAAAAGTCAATATACTCTACTTATGCACCACCTACTAATTGCTCATAGTTTATTTTAAAAATAACTATTTCACTATTCTAATTATTATTGTAATTATTGTGATATAAATGTTAAAATAGTTGAAAATTTAATCTCTCTATTTTATTGGAAATAAAATATACGCCGATAAAAAATATTACGTAATTGAATTGTATCTTTTGCGATTATTGTATAGACAATACAGTGTCACTGCGAGAGATAAACTTGTCAGTAATATAACAGCGATCGCTAGACAACTTGTACAAAGGCTATAGTAATAGAAAAAGAGAGAGAGAGCTTTCAATGATATACGAGCTTTGCGAAATATATAGAATATAGAATATAGAATAAAGTATAGATAAGTTAACTAGTTCAAACAGTAATTAAGAAATTGTATTTTATAAATAATATTATGATCTTTTTAATTATTTATAATGTACGCTGAGAGATAAGTGCACTGATGGAAAAAAATTTTTTCTTTAAAATGTCATTCTCGTTTTAAGTAATTCAATTCTCTTAACTTAAGAAATTGATTCTCAAATCAAGAAAGTTGGTTGTTTTAAAATAAGATATATACAACTTCGCCCAAGAATTTCTTTCTCTTGGATTTAGATAGACGGTAACGTTGGTTTAAGATATTACCGACTTGTTCCAAGTATGGCGCGACTATTATTTTTCATTGCGATTATTATTATTCTCGAACGCAATATTATAAGTTAAGTTAATGAAAAAGTTATATGTATATTAATCAAAATTCCATAAAGGATTTATTTTGTTACTTAGAAAGGATATTTAGTTTTAAGTAACAACGTTTATAAATAAATAATTTATTTTTATTTATCGATTTAATAATAATTTATTTTATGTAAATTAATTCCCGGAATCTTTTCCTGCAATTTACATTCCCATTTAATTAAATAATTTGAGGTACTATTTATAATTATAGGTACTTATTATTTCTGATTATAAATTATATATTAATCCTGACTGTAAGTGTTTCGTGATTTATTTTCCATTCGCATTAAATTTAGATCGTTAATTGATCGTCCGGAGAGGCCCCTGGCATTTTTATTTATTTTGGTAATTTTTGGATAAAATTACCTGGCGTCCTTTTCGTGCACTAACCCAGCCTGAGGAGTTTCAGGTTCATTTTATTATTATTCAAAAAGGGCGAGCGTAAGAACTTTACCCAACCGGTATCTCTGCCTCCGGTGGAAATTTATTTAAATTTTCGGGGACAGTTTTGTTACAAAGTTATTTAGTATCAGAAAAAAAATACACTCTCGTTAGTTCGAAACATCTAGTCCTTTTCGTGGACTAACCCAGCCTGAGGAGTTTCAGGTTCATTTTATTATTATTCAAAAAGGGCGAGCGTAAGAACTTTACCCAGCCGGTATCTCCGCCTCCGGTGGAAATTTATTTAAATTTTTGGGGACAGTTTTGTTACAGAGTTATTTTATGAATCAATACCAAGATCAAGTTTGAAGATGAGCTAAATCCGCCGGTTGGTTTACGAGTTGTGGATGTTTGGAAATTTTTTTCATTTTCAAATAATTTTTTATTTCGTCAATTTTATGGAAATTATTTTCCAGATGTTAAAGATTGATTAAATCTATTAAATTTATCTCAAAGTTCACATAATTACCTTCAATTTAAGCTATTGTTTGTCTAATTTTGATGATTTTTTAAATTAATTCCGTGATTTTGAAAATTTAGAAAAAATTTTCAATTAATGTACTTCGGGCGTTTTTCTTTATAAATAAGCATATCTTAATGAATATTCTTCTGTTGCCGTGTTAAACAAAAAATTACCTAGCTGAAAGATTGTTACGGACAATCTTTTAGATAGCTTAACTGGAAGCGCCTTTGGTGCGTAACCAAAAGATCCGGGTTCGATTCCCGGGTCCGACTTATTTTTTTTCTGTTTTCTGTGTTAAAGTTAATCAAGATGACTATTAACTAAAAATAGTTTAAGTAACTATTGTGGTTTAATATAATAAATAATTTTAGGTATAAGAACTTCAATTAAACAAAATTTTTCTCTCAGTGTAGAAGAAATAAATTTAATGTTATGAATAAGAAATTTAATAATGGAGTTTATAGTGGATAAACGAGATATGATAAAAATGAAAATACGATTTAGTGAAGAGTTTTCGATCGTTATATTGTTGGGGTAGTATTAGAGTGGATGGTTAGGTAGTAAGTAAGTACAGAGACCTTGAGCACGCGGATTCGCAATCTGGATGTTGAATTTATGATAATAATAGTAATAATGATGGTAATATAATAAAGGGAGATAGATTGATAAGAGATGATAAAGAATGTAGGATGGAAATTGGAGATTGAGGGATGCAAAGCGTAGGAGAAGGAGAAGGGGAGGGGGAAGAAGGAGCATAAAAAGTGGAGGAAGTGACGGTATCAAGTTGACGGTTAGGTGAAACTCTGGATAAATTATAAAGGGTATAACATGATGAAAAACCGAGGAGTGTCTGATCTTTGAACAAAGAAACGACTCGTAGACCCGTGAGGGTTGAAGGAACCCTCGAGAGGAACGACCAGTCTTTAGTCTGCGAATCTATTGCTCTCAG